TATTATTATTATTGACGTCCCTATTTTCATTGGAGAAATGTTGGAGGGTATGCAGGTTCCAAATCAAGCTCTGCTGATTTTCATTTGAAAGTTGACTAATCTCTCTGTGTGTCACACAGAGTTAATATTCACAAGAAATAGTCGATACACATGTGGTCTTGTATGTTTTTAGGGTTCAGGAAGAGTTGATGGGAGGACCTTTGGAATTTAAAATTGTATATTGTCCACCATATGGCCAGTCTACACTCAGATGGGGTACACTGTTTCTGGGACCATACTGTTTCTGACTAAAGGTAGTTTGCATGCTTGAATGTTCTCCTTACATCAATATCTCCCATCACTGTGAAAATGGCTGCAGCATGAGAGCGTTCAATCATGCGGTTTTCAACATTCAGCCAATATATAGTGCAGGCCCAGAAACCCATTAAAACGTGATTTTTTCGAATGTATAGACAGACTCTCAGTTTGAGTGATGTGTCAAAGTAGCCCAGTTTCTGTGCCTGGGAAAGCAGAATTCCGCAACCTGTGTGAATTTTTCAAATGAAACTGGTTCGCTTTGCATTGCATAATTTAGCCTGTTTGCTGTAAGAAAAGCAAAGAGCATTGCCAAGTGCTTAAATCTCGACCCCGCTGCGAATCCCAGCTTTTACTTTTTAAACAGTCTCACTTTGAACGCTTGAGGCTTAAAGTCTCCTGGAAGGAACCCTGATTCTGGCTGCCGGGATTTTGTAAGGCATTGCCTACACACTTTCAAGCACACCTGTGTAGCCAGGTGTGTGTGTGTCTGCAGCTACCATGTCCCAGCGGCATGCGGACTTCCACTTGAGTAAGAGCACCTTGCCTGCTCTCCTCCCACTGTGCTTGCCTCGTGCCCTCCCCAAAATCTGCTCTGAAGGGTTCTTCAGAAAAGGCTGGGAATCTTCCCTGTCTGAAACCCTGGAGAGAGCCCCTGTCACCCAATGATACTGAGTTAGAGGGACCAATAGTGTGACTCATTATAAGGCAGCTTTCTATGTTCTCCTTGGCCAGCTGCACCAACTGGTCCACCCCTGCAGAGAGATATACAAGAGGAAAAGGGATAGGGCCATCCATCAAACTGGGGAGGGGCACCAATGAAAGAGGCCACAAGGGGCCCCAGGCCCCTGCAAACCCAGAGCCAACCCTGGTTGGAGGGGGCCCAGAGGGCGCAGCCTATCACCCTCCTCTTTGCACATTTAGCAAACACCTGGAGTCATGAGCAGCGCTTCTGCCTTCCAGGGAAGCTGAGCCGTTATGACTGATCTTCTCTTTTCAGACAGGCAGACAGGCTTCCAAGGAATTCCCTGGACTGCAGCTTGGAAAGCGCCGGACAAAGGCTTTGGAGGCTTAGCACGGCTCCTTTTGTCCGGCACTGTTCTTGGCCAGGTAAACCCTCAACCGCCCCGTCAGCTTGTTTCCCCATCTGGCTCTCCGCTTCATTTACAGTCTGCAAGACACCCTTCAAGGATCCTTCCTGGCCGACCTTTCCTCTGATCTCCTCGCGGCTGTCGCTGGCAACCTAACCTGTCACTTCCTCCCCGTCCCTTTGCAGAAATGATGATGACATCGGTTCCCTTCCCCGAGCTGCCAGATCGCGAGAGCGGAGGTTCTCTTGTCCTTCAGAAAAGGGTGTCCAGCCGCTGCTTCTCGGATTTGTCTGGGCTGTGGGTGTTTCTCCCGCCCCCGGGGGAAGGTGGAGGGGATGAGGTTTAGCAGCAGCGTCTAAGCCTCGGCTCCCCTGGTATAAGACAACAGGTACAAATCATAGCCTGCCACTGCAACCTTCCCTTTTGACAAAGCAGACGCCGCATCGCTCTGCTGAATGCTAGCCCTGCTCAGTCTTTATAACACATCCGATCAAGGCAGATGCCTCTCACGCCCATTCCCAGAGCTGCCCTGCCTTAAATCTGGGTCCTTGACAGCTCTCTGGAGCTTCCATCAAGCACCACAGAGGGTGAGAGGGGCATAGCATGGATAGCCAGGGGGATGGTATCCCTGTGTGCATGATTGGGCAGGCACGAAACCAGGCACCCGCCCTGCCTGCCGCCAGGGGTCTCTGGACCCCACAGCCCAGCCTTGCCTTGCCATCATGACCCCGGCACCCTCACCTGGCCAACGTTGAAGGGATGCACCCGCCAAGGGTCACGTTGGCTGGCCAGGCTCCCCCCTGCATGAGCGGGCAGGCAGGTGGTGCGGCACAGCCCTGTGAACCCAGCGACGGTGAGGGCTGGGCTGGCACAGCAGGTATTGTTCACCCTCTTTGCCCTGCCCCTGCCTGGTGCATGCGTATGTGCAAGCACGCCCCAGGCACCAGCAAAGGACGCAGTGCCACTGATCAGGTGACCTGCCTGGCTGTTTGGGGCTTAGAGGCTACTTAGGGTAGGAATAAGGAAACTGGTGGTCCTCTAGTTTCTCACTGTTGGGCTCCAACTCCCATCAGCCCTAGTCACTATGGCCAGTGGGCAAAGATGATGAAAATTGCAGTCCATCAGGGTCTTCTTCTAAAGCCATCCAAGTGGGTGGCCATTACTATTTCCTGTGGAAAGGAGTTCCATATGTGCTGCATTATCTCGGGCCCAGAACGGCTCACAAGACTCAGGGCCAGCCACTGTGCAATAATGACTATGGCTAAACCTGCATGTATTCTGTAGCCCAGGGGCAGTGGCTGACCTTGGGGCCTCAAATTTCAGCAGCACCCTTTGTGATGCTAAAGTCTGGCGTCCCCTCGCCTCTCACGCCACATTCTAAATAATAGTTTTGGCGTCCCTTGTGGCGCCCCTGAGCTCAATGCAACTGAAGCAGTTGCACTCTACTAAATCTGGACAACAATTCCCATCATCCCTGACAATTGGCCAAGCTGGCTGGGGCTGATGGAGTCCAACAGGTTGGAGATAGTCCATGTTGACTATCCTTGGGGCAACCATGGAATTCAAGGGCAGACATTAGGCTTTGGGATCCTTCATGTTTCAGCTCTTTTTTTAAAAAGCATTCTGGTTTCCAGATGTTAAGAAAATGCATACCCCGCAACATTTTGGGAGGCTAATTCAGAGCACCCCCTGACCCCGTGACCCAGTCACTTGCCTGCTTGCCCCCTCCCTGCCACTGCTCCCTTCCTTGCCCACCCACTCACCGCTACAACCCTTTTGCTCACTCCATCCCCTTCTCCTACCTTTGTCTGCTGTCTTCCAAGTCCTGCTCTGCAGCCTTGGGAAATGCCTAGCAGGAGGTTGGCCCAGCCTGCACAGGGTCTGGAGATGCCACGCAGACCAGACCAGCTTTCTTTTCCTCTTCCTGCACTGTAGATGTACTTCCAGAAGTGCCATGGCGAAAGGAAGGAGACGAGTGGTGATGCATGGGGTCAACGTACGTTTTCCTTCCGTTATTTGTTCCTGCGCTCTGGTGTGAGCCAACTGACTTGCACCGCAGCACAGAACCAAATAACGCCCATATTTTGGTCCCATGCTCTGTCGCGGCCAGAGCTCAGGAGCCAAAATGGGATGTCCAGGATTGGGCTTAGAAGCCAGGGGTGGCTTCTGTCAATCCAGGATGTCCCAGTAAAATTGGAACACTTGTGTGAGCTATATCTCATGAAATCTTGGAAACCTTAGGCAGGGCAGAGCTAGATTTCCTGTTGAGGGGTCAAGGTTTCAAGGCCTTCGCGTGACCAGTGCAAGCAGAATAAAGTATGCATAATGAACAAAGTGCATGCAAAAAATGTTTCATTTGAATGATTCTCATGAATCTAACTTATTTTGTGCATGACACTGTTTAGTGAGGAGCGCACTCAAACCTGGGTAGGCTCAAAGCTGTGCTCTTTACAGGTTTGCACCTTCAGGAGGCTCTCTGCTTCGATCTGACCCAAGAAGTATGGTTCTAGATCTCATGGTCATTGAGAAAAATCTCGGTGCACTTCCCCACCTTCCCTCCCACTTTCACGCATGCACAGAAAGCCTTGTCACTTGGCTTGTTTGCATGGGTTATTTCAGATCACAGAAAGTGGGCTACCCAGTTACAGAATCTGGGTTTTGATTTTTGACACAGAGCACACGTGGGGAGGGGGGGGGCCTTTCAGTGTGACCTTTATTGTCTCCTTGCAATTCATATGCAGATCCAGCTTGTTCCTTGTCACACGGAGGCCCCCTGAGAAGTCTATCTGGGAAAGTGAATGAGCTTCTGCTACAGGGCGGGCTGGAGGAGGGCCAAATGTTTCCTGTAGAGGTTTCTGCACCCTTGTCTGACTTGTCATGTTCCTTGAAGGTTTCCTGCTACACAGTACAGCTGCGAACCATTTCAAGGATACAATAGCACCTTGCTACGCTTCCCTGACAGGTTTAAGAGCAGTTTATACATTCGGCAGGATCCAGGCGGCATAGCTTCTCCAGGACGGTGCCACGTCACGCTCCGTCTAGGTGGGTTGTTGTCAGGTTTTCATTTGTTTGCTTGGCATTATTTGCTTTGCTTTGCATGTCCCCTCACCCCCAATGAGGAATGAAGCATCTGCCTGATGCAGGGGGTGGGAAACAGACTGTTTAGGAGAAAAATTATGTGCGGGTCATTTTTCCTGACCTGCTAATTTTCTGCACGCAGTACTTTCCCCCTCTCTCTTTCACGCAGGAGCACCAAAACACACACGCAGCAACGCTTCGCAGGCTGAAGCAGCCCAACCCAGAAAACCTTTACCGCTTGAGTCTGCAGAACTGATAACCCGAGAGCCTCAAGCCACCAGTTTAGCATTTGTACTGGCAAAGGGGGCTGGTAAAGAAATGACTTTGTCCTGGAAACGCTGCTTTCACACTTTCCGTGACATTGGCAAGGGTGGCTTGGATGAGGGGTAGCCAACTGGCAGCCCGCAGGCAGCATCCGGCCCATGGTTTTCTTTGGCTCCTGTGACCCTGCAGAAAGCCTTCTGGATAGAGGGCAGGAGGATGCAGGGGCAGAAATGCCTCTGCTTCCTCTTCCAGCTGGCTCCAATGAGGGCAGAAGGACTGTGCCTCAGTGGTAGAGGATCTGCTTTGCATGCAGGAGGTCCCTGGAGGTCCCTGGCATCTCCAGGCAGGGCTGGAAGGAAGTCCTGTCTACAATCCCAGAGAGCCGCTGCCGTCAGTTTTCACGATACTGAGTAAGGATGGACTAATCTCACATGGTATTAAGCAGCTTCCTCTGTCTTAGTGCTGTGCTGAAAAGGTCTCCCTTGGATGCTCTTGACCCTAACTATTCTCCGTCGGTTAATGAGAAAAGAAATGCATTTGGAAATTATCAACTGGGAGAGAAAATTTCAGTGAAATGCTCATGGGTGCAACTTTTCTGTTGTGCTCACTGTTTACCTTACATCTGAGATGGCTGGGTGGCATCTTTGAGCAGTGGCGTAGCGTGGGGGGTGCAGGGGGGGCCGGCTGCACCGGGCGCAACATCTGGGGGTTAGGGTTAGGGGGCGCAAACCCACGGGTTAGGGGGCGCAAATCCACGGGTTAGGGGGCGCAAATACTTGCCTTGCCCCAGGTGCTGACAACCCACGCTACGCCACTGTCTTTGAGTGTCCTTTCTGTCACTCTACAAATCATCTCTCCAGTGGCCTGCGCTCTGCAGCCTTCCTGGGTGCCCACCCTTCAATTCTAAGGGTGCATGGCCATCTCCTCCAATGGACCTTTTTCAGATCAGGAAGCTCAGGCAGTCAGGGAGGCTGCAGAATGGTGGATTTATGTTGTCTGGAAAGAAAGAAAACATGCACATCATCTTTGGCGTCCTCGCCATGCTGAGGTTAAGCTCCACACCCACTGAAATTGTACAAAATTTCCCGAGAATGAGGCAGAAAACTAGAAGCTTCTTTTGCAGAGGAAGAAAGTGTTTGAGCAACCGCAGAACAGATTTCAGGATAGCACTGCGTCTTCCAAACACAACATCTTCCAAACACTGCATCTTCCTATACCCAAAGTAGAAGGGAAGACAGTACAGTCAGAAGATGTGGTGATGGCCACCAGCTTAGATGGCTTTGAAAGAGGAGGCGCTAAAATGGGTATTTGTCATTATCGCTATGTGGAACCTCCAGGTCCCAGGCGGTTGGGTGCCACCAGATGCCAGTTGCTGAAGAGCAACTTTGGTCAAGGACTATTGCCTTCATGAGCTGCTCTTACATTCATGGAGGACAAGGCTATCAATGGCTGCTAGCCATGATGACTATGTTCCACCTCCATTGTCAGAATCTTGCCATTGGCTTCTGGTTGGCCACTGCCAGAACAGAGTGCTGGATTAGATGGGCCATTGGCCTGATCGAGCAAGCTCATCTTACGTGAGTTTCCTGGAGACATTTGTTTGGCCACTGTGGGAAGCAGGATGCTTGATTAGGTAGACCCATGTTTCCCAAGCTTGGGTCTGCAGCTGCTTTGGGACTACAGTTCCCACCATCCCTGACCACTGGTCCTGCTAGCTAGGGATGATGGGAGTTGTAGTCCAAAGAAAGCTGGAGACCCAAGTTTGGGAAACACTGAGGTAGACCTTTGGTCTGAGCCATAAGGACATAGGAAGCTGCCTTAGACAGACTACTGCCCCATCTAAGTCAATATTGCCTCCACTTATTGGTAGCTGCACTCTGTGAATTTTGGCAGGGGTCTCTCCCAGCCCTACCTGGAGATGCTGGGGATTGAGCTTTAGACCTTCTGAGTGCAAAGCGGATGCTCTACCACTTGCTGGATGGTAGGGGCTCCACCATCCAGGAAGATGCTTCTGCTCATGGAAAAGGCAACTCAAAGTACTCCTACCCTCACTAGAGCTAGCAGTAGATCCATAGTTCTTTCCCACCTGGACTGTCTCCTCTCCCACCATGGGGCCATTGGACACCAATTGCCCTGCAGGGAACAACATGTTTATGTTCTGCTTTCATTTTAAGTCTGTGGTTCTTGGTGTATCCATTTGACGTTCATAAATGCTGCAAGCTGCATTAGAGGCCTGCAGTTGAAAAGCAATATGTGAAACTGCTAAATAAATAGCCGCAAATAATCAACCACAAACCTACCCCTAAGAAGCTGAGTGGCACAGATGGGGAGCATGTGGACTACACCTCCCATCTTCCCTTGGCCATGCTGGCTGGGGCTAATGGGATTTTGAGTCCAACAACATCTCAGATTTAAACTGTTGGCAGCGTTGGCACAGTTGGCAGCGTGGGCAGCCACTATAGGTGCCCATGGAAGCATAGATGTAGAAGACCAATGTGGCAATCACTGCCTGGTGATCTACAGCCGTTCAAATTTGACATATGCCATAGTTGCTGACTACAGTAACCCCTATGCCAACAGCAAACTGATAGTACCAGCTAGGATCGGGAAAATATTCTAAACTCATGCAAGAATAGCAGGAAAAGGGAGGGTGTTTGTGGTTGCTGACTTTCAGCTATCTGGTCCAGAGGTCACCAAGGATGCCCAAACAGGAACTTCATCAGATTTGGTAGCACAGGGAATTCATTGAAAACTCTGCCTTCAGCACGTTCACCCTGCTGGTCCCAATTCCAAACTCTGCTGTTTAGGCAGAAAGTGTTTTTGGAATCTGTTTGGTCACTTGAGGTGGTATACAATGCTAGTGCTACTCCAAGCAGTCCTACTAAAGTCAATGGACATGACTAACTCAGATCCATTAATTTCAATGAGTCTACTCAGAGTAGAAGGTAATTTGAGACGACCCATCAGTGGAAACCAAGGACTGGCCTAGACAGACCTTTGATTTGATTCAGCAAGGCGGCTCTTAACGTTGGAACAAATGCGTATTAATCATGGTTCAATTAAAAGACACACACAAAGAAATTCGTTGTTCGGCATCATCAACATGTCCCTGAACACGGAGCAGTTTGGGGAAGTAATGGAATTTTACTGGGAGCTTAGGTGAAAGTTTCTTGGAAATCCAGAACACAGCTTTTGTAACAGCCTCACAACCAAATCATTTCTGCCGTAACTATAACAACACCAGCAAGAATGCTGTGGCCGGGATCCAGAGATGTACTTCAGGCATGCCCGAGGGCTTGGGTACATCCAGTGGGATTGTTTTCTCTCCTTTGAAAAGCAGTCCCCACTCCCCGTCAGTACCATTTCGCAAATTGATTTGGGATTCCCTTGCCATGTGGCAAATCTCCAAATCTCTCTTGGGTGTGCCAAACTAGTTGTGCGAGTTCTTTGGAATCTTTGGGGCTGCTCTCCATTAGTGCTAATAATCGAGAATCAACATCAGCATTGCAAATGATGTCCAGGCCGGTGCCCACCCACTTGCATTATTAATAAAGGACGCTCCCAACAATAATAGGAAAGGCAGCCTCTGATTTCAATCAATGGCTTCAATGATAACTGAGAGCTGTTTTACCAAAGCTGTGTACACAGTATACATTTAAAGCACACAAACACACATTGAAAAAAATAATGGGAACAATAGTTTGAGGGTGCTGGAATGGTGGACCTGTGAGAGCCGAACTACAGTTCCCAGGATTCTTTTTTTGGGGGGGGTGCTTTAAATGTGCTTTAAACAATATACCCAGCCTGAGTCTTAACTGTTAAAGCCCTCTCTCTGTTAAGGAAATCTTAAATCAATTAACCGTGAGTTTTAGTTGATTGATCAACTGATTAAATCTGCATACATTTGCATATGAATACAACACTGGGGGAGGGGCACCTTTTCTTTGTTTTTAGATTATGCATGCATACGTCATCATTTCAGAGAAGACACTCCCTGTGTCAGAAGATAGGAGGTAGACCTCACTACGAATGAACAATCCAACCATGGGTTTAAGAATCGCCCTGCTCGATCATCCTAAATGACTATTGAGGTCCAGAATCCTCTTTCCACAGTGGCCAATTAGATGCCATCTGGGAGACCCCTCATCAGGGTATGAAATCTCCTAGGACCTAGTAATCAGTTGCATGCTGCCTCTGATTCTGCGCCCAGTCGCTGTGATTAGTAGTTATTGATAGCCTTATCTGCAATGAAGCTGCCTAATTCCCATTTTAAAATACCTTAGTGGAATTCAGTACTTACATTTACTTTTCCAAAAAATAAAATAAAATAAACTGTCCCCCTTTAATTTGGGCTTCCTTTTTAATTGATCAGAAGGCTTTAAAAAAAATCCAACTGATTAATCAATGATGTGCATATATACTTGGAAATAACTCCTACTGCAGCAGTGGGGGATGTGAGTCCCTCCAAAAGTTACTAGACTCCAACTCTCATCAGCCACAGTCAACATAGCCAATGGGCAGGGATGAGGCCCAGAAACATCTAGAGACCCACAGGTTCCCCAGTCCTGCCCTACTGTGAGGGTAGCCGATAGGTCTCAACCCCTCAGTGAGTTAGGGACTTCCCTTGCATGCGAAGACAGGCTCTGGTGGACTGAGCGGATGAGACTAATGGTGGGTCCACTGGTCAAGAAGGCAGTTACTGCATGTGCTATAGAGCAGTGGTTCTCAACCTGTGGGTCCCCAGATGTTGTTGGACTACAACTCCCATCACCCCTAGCTAGCAAGGCCAGAGTTCAGGGATGATGGGAGTCATAGTCCAACAACATCTGGGGACCCACAGGTTGAAAACCGCTGCTATAGAGGGAAGTTAGGGACAGATGGGGCTTGTCAACCTGGGAAGGTAGCCCATCTAGGAGAAGGGAAACTGGTGTGAAGCCTCTGCTGCCTTGCGGCTATAGTCATTTGTGAGAAAGCCTTTGGGGAGAAATCCTGAGGAAAAATCTGCACCCTCTGCCTTATGGGACATCTTCAGGAGAAGAAAAGGCTAAGGAGTAAACCCTACACAAACCCAGACTGGAGTCCCTAAGACAGCTGGATGTCACCTTGTACTCCTCCTTCTGGCAACTCCTGCAGCCAAGCTGGTGCCAAACATATTGCTCTGCTTTCCTTTGGATCCCATTGGTGAGGTCAAGAGGGTCTTGTCATCTGGGCAGGACAGGACCAGCACACACACTGCCCAGGCTTCTACCTCGGTGAAGTCACTTCAGTGCTGCCAACGCAACAAAACAATGTAGGAGGCAGCAGTTATGAGTTACCAACCTCTGCAGCCACGGCAGGCGCTG